GGTGTAACATTGGTTTTGCTTTGTTTCACAGAACTAATCGTTGCCTGGGTTGCGTACGTATGTGTGTGGGGCGGAGCTATCAAAATAGGGGCAAGACCCTTTTGGGGTAGGGGTGTGTTTGTTTTGGTGATTTCAAACATCAACATTGGCTACCAGAAATCGCTTACCCTGCCTTTAAACTAAACTCATTTAAACCTGGCCAGTTTAAATATTAAAGAGCCAGAAGACGCGAACTCGCACGTGCAGTGAGAAGATCTGTGCTCATCCGAAGTGTGTGAACCCGCGTCTCAGAACGCGCACAAATATTAAGCTCTCTTTGAAGTATTGTGCTGGAATGGACAAATTCACACAAAAATGATGTCAAAATGATTGGTGAGTATCCTAGCAGACAAAGTCGGCTGAGCGTACAGTATCAGTGCACTGGATCAGTGCGTTCTCTTAAAGTGACAGCACTTTCTTAATGTTAATCAAACAGCAACAACACGGAAATCACTCACTGCTCTTGACTGAATAACTTTGGTAACTTTAATAAGGATTAATCTTTCATTTATACAGTCAAATATGCTATGTATATATGTTATTTTACAGTTGATTACTTTATTCAATTTCTGTACCTAAAAACTAATGTTAGACCTACCTAAAAAAACAGAAAAACACAGTTTATTTTATTTGTATCTTTGCTCTATTGTATTTATTTGTGCTGTTGCTTGTAGTTAGATTATTTGTTATCTTTGTTATTTTTATTTGACAATATAGTTTTTTTTACCTAAACATAGCACATACCGAACCGCACCGAAACCGTGATACAAACCGAACCGTGAGTAAGCTGAACCGTTGCTAATACCGTCTAATATATATTATTAAATATATAGCATATACATTTATTAGTTTCATAAACCCCAATATAATCAACAAAACTGATCTCCAAAATACTTTTTATTATTAACTTTTTTATATAATGCTTCTATAATGAGACACTTAAAGACTCTTATTTGAAAAGAGACATGGTCATTGTATAACTGTATCATCTACACAAGCCATTGTGCTTGCAACAAATTAAACTGCATCGTTTCATTTACCTTCTGTGGGTAATTGTAAATGTCTTTGGTGACTACAATATTATTGCTCCTCACATTGATCCCACAAACATGGAATAGTAATCCTCTCATAGTAAAGTTATCAAAACTAATGGGCAAATGTATTATTATTATTTATATTCATTTATATTATTTAAATGTTTCTTTATCTTAAAGGGGTCATATGATGCTGCTTAAAAGAACAGTATTTTGTGTGTTTGGTGTAATGAAATGTGTTTATGCGGTTTAAGGTAAAAAAAAAAACACATTATTTTAAGAGAAAGGAAAACTTGAAATCGCATCATATGACCCCTTTAAGGATCTACACTTTGTTACAACACTTAAACAAAATTTTTTATAAAATCAAAGACATGAGAAGACATTTACAAGTACCCATAGAAGGTAAATAAACAATGCAGTTTAACTTGTTGGTAATGGTTTATTTTGACTGCAATAAAAACTCACTTCTGCTGCAATCCGCTCATGGACCTCTGGACTAAGTGACCACCGCCTCTTCGGTTGAGAACCACCTTCACTGCTTTGGTCAACCAGGGAATGGAGAGAATTTCTGTAAAGGAATAAGAAAACGTATCAATAATAATAATAAATATAGCTGCAAGCAGTGATTTCCGGGGTTCAAGCAGTTACGGCATTTAAGCACATAAGGAAAAAGATTTTGTGTTAACATGGCAGTAATCACCTAAATTAATGATTAAAAATTAGGGATGTATCGGTATCGGGCCCGATACTGGCCTCCTGTACTCGTACTCGTACTCGTTAAAATGCCCCGATACCAAACGCCGATACCACACAGTATGTGATAATGGTAGTTACATAGCACCTGGACCTCAGTTATCATGAAAAAAGCCAGGAAATGTCAGTTTTGACAATATGGGACCTTTAATGGAGTTCTGGCTCTTTAAAGATAAATTCAAATGTCAAAATAGATTCGATAACGGCACGATAAAACAAAATCAACAGTGTTTTATCAATTTGAAATATGCAGTTTTCTTTAGAAAGAACAGACGTTGATGCTCCTTTTTATACACAGCTGCGCAGTTGGCTTTAATACTCAACTTTGAATCAATGATTGTCTTTATAAGATTGCACACACTCCACTGTTTGACCCTTAATGGATGTGTCTTCATGCACAGAAACATATCCTTGTGCTGAATGCATAAACACATTTGGAAAAATATAATAAATACTTGACGAAATAAAATTATAAATATAATTTGTAAAAATTTTATATTTTTTTAATTTCGTCATATATATTTCAATATGCATTTCACCAAGAATAAAACTGACAAATATTTTATTATTCAAATGTGTTTCCTTTATGTAACTATCTAAGCACTTTCTGGATTGTAGACAGGACTTTTATTTTGGTAAGGCTAAGGCTAAAGCGTCATAAGGCTGCGCCGCGCTCCTGCTTCTGTGTTTCAGCTGAAGAAAGGTTTGTGGTCTTAATCATTTAAAGTGTTTGGATTCATACAAATGCATTCAGTCTATTTTATAGTGTTTACAAGCGATGCAAAGTTAATAATTATAGTGTGTAACATTGTAATATTTTATCTAATATGAATGCAGGTTATTTTGTGAGAGTAAAGCTCATTCACACATTAGTAACAGATAAAGTGTGTCTGATTTCAGTTGCTATTTCAGTTGCTTCACAAAATGATTCAGTGTTTTGAATCACCAAGAGACCTGCTGCTCAGAACAGTGTAACTGCAACAACAACAAACACAAACATGTGGAATGACAACTTTTACAAACAACTGCTAATGTGTTGTTGTAATGGCAAGCTGAATGTACAATAGCAATGTTTAAACGTGGAATTTATTAAATATACTTATCATTTAATACAGTGTTTCCCCTGCCATTATATTAGGGGGGCGGTCTAATAATTAATATTATTTTATTTTCTCTATAGCACCAGATCACAACAGAAGTCATTTACTTTTACTTTACTTTTAGTCATTTAGCAGACGCTTTTATCCAAAGCGACTTACAAATTAGAAAAAGTAATTAAAACTAAAACTCTATAAATACTATATATACACACATTTAAGTAAATAAAATAAAAATGACAAATGCATACAACATTTCAAAACTAAACATTTAAATGAAAACAAAAAAATAAAGCTAAAAACAATTCAAAATATTAAAAGAACAAAAGGTATGAGTATAATAATGATTCTAACATAACACTAAACCAAACACCAAAGAACAACTACATGTGTGCAGCCACATACATATACATGTACATAAATACATCCAATATATATATATATATTATTTCATTTCCATTTTGTATGTTGAAGTACTAAAATAACTCAAATGAAACAAAACTAAAACTTAATAAAAACCCTATATAGACATAAAAAAAAACGAATAAAATGACAACATTACTACAACTGTAACTAAAACTAAAATAGATAACTAATACAAATCAAACTACATTAGTTTATCAGTAATCCTAAAAAAATACACACATGCTAAAATAACAACTTACTGACACATAGTAAGAAATGGTTATAAAAACTGAAACAGAAATGAAACAAGTAATAGGAGTTTAAAGTTGCCTTTCCGATAGAACAGGTCTATACCTTGTTCTTTTGTTAAGCAAACTAAATAGCCTTATGTTTTTGATCTTATTTACACAACGTTACATGGTCGCGCTCTCTGCATCACGCACAGCGGAGTACACACACGCACACACTCCCACTAGTATTTGTAAATATTATGCCGCAAAACGATTCATTTTTAAATGAATTCTGCGTGTCTCCGTGTTAATGAATGGCGCAGACATGTTTTTTTTAACCACGTCTTTAGCGTCTGCGTCCACTTCAGCGTCCACTAACAAGGACATAAATACATGAACAGCATCTCCAGAACTGCTCTGAGAGTCACTTCATCAGCATTTGACCGTTTCATTTCAGTAAAACTAACATATCATATACACACAGAAATTAGGGATGGGCGATACCACTTATTTTGTTTTCGATACGATACCAATATTTTTCAAGGCAGTATCGTCGATAACTAAACTTTTAAATGATGAAATTTATTAAATTATTAAATTACTAAGAGTAAAATGGGTAATGATAACCACTTAACTTTGTTTAAAACACATTTTAACATTCAATACGCCTTAATTGTAATTTATTAGGTTATATTATTGTTTACACATGATTCAAATCTACAAATACTACTGTTGAACTACGGTCACTTTAGTAAAACCATGGTTCATTATCATAAGGGGCTGCCAGTGACCGGCTGTTGCATCCATAAAATGCAACCTTTTTATTCTGACAGTGTATGATTTCTATTAACATTACTGAATAGAACATGACCTATATTATCTTTCAACGTTCAATTTAAATAAATGTAATTGTACAAACTATGTAGGCTACGATTTCAATTTGTTTATTGTGAAATAACTCAAACATATGTTTTTTTCTGTCCTCTGATAAGCATTGTTCAGGGCTGCCGTTCCCAAAAGCTTTAATGCTTTCTTATGATACTTTTGGGAAACGCAGCCCTGTTTGAATGCACTTTTAGAAGTGAGTGAATGCTCTCCGTGATCGATTGGTTCTGTCTTGCAACATTTGTGTGTGTTCAGATGAGCAGGAAAATAACTATATCCTACACAATTACTCGCTAACAAAGGTTATTCATCCAATTCAATGCATTTGTACGCATTATTATTATTATTTTAAATAAACGAAATCACTGGTAAATAAAACACACCTTAGTATCGATATTTTTAGTTTGAGTATCGATACTTTCGATACTCGCGTCAGTATCGATATATCGATACTTAGGATCGATATGCCCATCCCTACTCTGAAGCGCTCAGTCAGAGAGTGTTCGGCGAGTGAAAATATATCTGAGCTAAACTTATACTTAGCCTCCAACTCACACACTGGCGAGTAAAATCTGAGAATTTATTAGC